AAGGCCTTCCCGGCTCCCGCCGTTGGGCAGCTTCCCTCTGCCCCGTCCTAGGGCGCCGATGGGCCCGAGCCGCGCCTTCCCCCCACCTGCAGCTTGGGCAGAGGGTCGGCGCCGGTTGACGCGAGGTGGCGGGAGCTCAGTCCTGGCCCAGCCGCCAGCCGAAGCCCATTCCCGGTGGGGCGGAGACAGCGAGGTGCGGAGTGACCGTGGGGGCGGCTTCCCCGCCGTGCCCGGTGTGGTTTCTGCCCGCCCTCCCTGTCCTCTTTTCGCTGGCGCTTTTGGGTTTTCTCTGTTTGGCCCGCGGAGCACCGACAGCGGCTCCTGTAGTGTCTGGGCCCACCAAGATAATTTAGTGCTGCCATGTGTCTCTGGGGTTCCCCTTTCTTGGTAGGGAGGGAAGGGGTTAGAATTGGGCAGAGCTGGACGAGCTCAGGGGTGCGATGGGTTGTTTGTCTATCTGCCTATGTCCGTCTGTACGAGGCAGGGATCTGCTTCTTGCTCTGAAGGATACCCTAGAGACGCCAATTGCAGTAATCCCGCAGCAGAGCACAGAGTATAAACACAGTATAAACACACCCCTACTCCATCCTTTATGCATGATTTCCCCCTCATTCTTGCCTCTGTGTGTGTTATGAGGGTATATGTAACTAGTTGTGATTGCTTCAGAATTATATCGTGCAATTGGATTTTTTTTCTTTCTTTATTCTGGGAGGAATCAAGGTTGTGCCCATTTGGAGCTGTACCTCACAGTGGTTCTGTTTGGTTTGAGGGTCAAAACTGAACCCAAAGGGAAGCTTTGTGTGGGAGCTTCTTTCAGAGCTCATTTCTGAATGACTGTTATTTTCAATTGTGTCTATACCTAGACCACTGAGCAAGTTCAGAATAACAAAATACGGCAAAGTATACATATATTTCCCGCATGCACAATTAGGAATTTTTATATTAAATCTATGCCAGGCTTCAGTCTTTGCAATCCAGAATAGACCCTGGGATCCTACTTCTCATAGAGTTAATCTGATTTAAATTACTTTGAAATACCTTTGCCTTATCGCGTGCTGTTGACATATTCTGTGATGAATTAAAGAGTAAGTCATGGCTGGTTGTTGAAGCCTTGTTCATCTTTCTGTAATTGTTGAAAGCAAAGTGTTGATGGTATTATACGGCATTATTCTCCTATTTTATTGCCAGAAAATATTATGTAAAGGAGATTAATACATGCTTTTGCTATTTTCGTTTTTATAAGCCTGATCTGGATTTTATGGCTATGGAATTTGGTCCTAAGCAGTGTGTGAAATTCAGGCTTGGACTTTGGTAGCCATTAGCTTCTGTATGTGTAAAAAGTTGCAAGTAGGGGTTAATTTCTTCTTTAAGAACTAGATAGCAATACTCTAGCATGGACAAGGCTTAGGGATGAGAAAGTGCCAAATTGTTTTACATGTAGGAATCAGGATGTGGTGATGTGTAACTACTTCTTTATATGCAATGATTTTATTTTTTTTTTTTTTTAATTTGGAAATCAGGATATGGAGACATACTGATACCATAGAAAGCATGCCTACAGTGGTTTCTGAGTCTATTGAACAAATTTCTAAAATTTCTAATTTATAGTAAGGACTGTTGAAAAAAAACCCTTTAATTTATCCTGCAGGGAGCATGACACAACACTATGTTCACCTTTGTGGTAGTAAAAATCATATTGATATAGATAATAAGCAAGTATTCATTAAGTATTTGTCTTCTACATTTGTCATGTAAACATATGAATTTCTTAACATCACTTTTGCTGCTATGTTGGGTTTTTTTGCTGGTTTGAAAAGGGATGTGGAGAAGGCAGAATAAAGAGTCTGACAACAGAGTGTGTGTTTATGTTTGTTAAGTAATTAAATAGGCAATTGATTAATAAGGAATATCATTAATAGCTGTCTGCATGGTTTTATGAAAAAGAGATCTTGTGAAGCAGTCCTGAATTCATTCTCTTAATGATTTGTTTGATAATGGTAGTTCATGGGTTATAGTAGTGCTTACAAAGGAAAGCACTTAGCTCAGTAGTACTTAACACTGTCATTTTAAAATACTCTTTTTAAAGTAGCATGAGAGTGGTAGATGGATGAAAGCCAGTCAGCTAGTACCTCAGAGTTGGTGGGAGGTGTCCCTTTGCTGTTGAGACTGTAAAGGTGTCAGAAGTGAGCCTCCTTCTGTCCAACACGTGATTTGCGGCCTTGAAAGTTGTATATAACATAATTAATTTAAAACTTTTGGGTGGCACAGATATTAGTGGAATGGTAATTAGTAGTGGCAGGACACTTGTATGCTCTGCTTTTGATTACATGATGAAGTGGGTCCACTGAAATAACCAAATATATTTTAACACATCCTGAACTTGCAGCCTGTTTCGTTATGGTTAATCATCTGCTCTGTTAGACTTGAGTTTTGCTACTTGACCTACTGAACAGACTAATGAGGGAAGTGGCAGATTCCTCCTGTGTTTGATTTGCCATCTGGTTGGCTGTTCTCTCCTGTCTTGCTGTTGCTTAACTCCACGCTTCAGTATTTTAGTTTTAAATTTTCTGTTTTGAAGGGGGTATAGGATAAAGAAACTTGAATTTGGGAGTGTTTTATTTTGTGTATCAAGAACTTGAACAGTTACTTATACCAGGAAAGCTCAGTGTCTTTGGTTTCTTTTAAGCTACCTGACAACTGTCTTGTTCTTTATTTCATAAAGCAGTCTCCCCTCTGTGTTCATTCTGCTTATGTAATCATATTTTTGCTGGCTTTATCTTCCTTAAGCAGATATTGCTTTCATGTAAGAAATGCCCCTCTACTTTCAGTTTCATCCATGTGGCTGTTTGCATTTAAACACTAGAGGTCACTGTTGCAGTTTGTATCTATGCATGTACATACATACATATATGCATCCATATGTATATGTATATGCATTTCTAAATAATATTTTTTGAACAGGAAAATATAGGTTTTTCCCAAAACTTGCCACTCTTAAACATAAAAATATTCACTAATCTAATAATAAGTTTCCAAGGCTGCCTTTTCCCTTTCACCCAACCACTTAAATCATTACTGAGATGAGCAATACTTTATAATAAATTCATTATGGTTGTGCATGCCTGTTTGAGAATTTAATTGTAACAGCAAGCAGTACGTGGCCCTGAGCTCTGATATTATTTACATGTGGAGCAAATTAAGCTATTGATGGTTCCTTACTAGAAATAGAACTCATGATAGGTTTTTTTTGTTCCTTTTTTTACCCCTAGATTCTGAGTTAAGCTCAGGACTTCCAGAAGACAGCTACTCTTCAGGAGGTGAAGGCTTGGATGGTGATGATGAAGATGAAACGGCAGCCCGTGGCAATGTGGTTGAGGAGGCAACAAGCTCCAAAGCTGGCCCAAGTGCAGGCTGGGCAGATGCCATGGCAAAAGTGCTTAACAAAAAGATTCCACAAAATAAGTTCACCATTTTGGCCAGGAATAAAAAACTGGAGAAGGAGAGACAGAAGGAAAAACAAGAAAGGCTGGAGAAGAGAATGAAGGTGAGGCAAAGATGCAGTATTTTCTTGTGCAGTCACAGTCAGATGGAGATGCATGCAAGATCCCCTCTGCAGGGATTTCAGAGAGTGCTCCAAGACTGTCTCAGTTTTGAAATCTCTTCTCCACAGTGATCTCAGTTACCTTCAATTTTTTTACTTTACATACAGTCATGCTGTAGGGCTTATTCTGTCACTGTTTCTTTCTGGGCCATCAGCAGGCCTGATCTTTGGCAGCAGGACTGTTCCAGTCAGTCTGCTTAAGGTGTTTTTGTGGTTGAGAGGGTGAATACAGCTGTTTTAAGCTTAGTTTTCTAATTGTTGTTGTTAATTTGGGGTATAATTCACTTTGTCAGCATTACAAGTTGAAATAGTTCTCAACCATCAAAAGTGAAAGGGAGAAGAGAAGAAAACTGCTTTCATTTAAATTCTGCTGCGACTTCCAAAATCAAAGGTCTCCAGGTTGCGGTTGCAGGAGTCACTGATGTGGTTGTGAATTGTTTGCTCCCCACAATGATTTTCCTGGTAGGGATTTTCTGTTACTATGTCCGTACCCTAAATTGCTTCTGTTTCTGAAACTGTTATGAAGGAAACGAAACTATGTTGGCAGTTAAGTCATTTGTTTGTGTCTTTAGTGGAACTTCTCATTCCAGGCTATGATTGATTTACCTTCAGGCTAAAAATACATTATTAGTTCTAATGTCTCATCTTACCAGTTCTGTTTCTATAGGATAACTAGGTTATCCACCTGACAGTCTGGGACATGCTGTGGTTAGGCCACAGCCTGCCTTCTAAATGCAGAGAGCTTCGGTACGTTCAACTGCTCAGTTATGCTAAATGCTTGTTCTCATGCAGTAAATACAGGGTAGTACTGCAAAGGAGAGGTGGGCTGCAGCTACACAAACTGGCTTGTTTACCCTTAGAAAAACCTGACAGCAGACTGCTTTCTATTAATTTCTTGCTGGTGGAAGCTAGAATAGAACAATTCTTTTGATAAAAGGCCAAAGCATGGTCATAAACTTTAAAATTTGTAGTGGTCTGCCTGGAATTATAAAGATAAGGACTCTGAAATTTAGTGAAAGACTTCTTGCATGAAACCAGCTCAATTCAACATCACCAGATCTAGAACACTGTTAAATTGTTAAAAGGAGAAAAAATATTTCACTACTTTATTCCTGAAGCAGATGCTGGAGAAATAGTGTTCTCATATTGCAGCAGAAAAATAAAAAAGATGGTGGAGTTCTGGCCTCTGGTAATGGAAAAGTGGATTGATTTAGTTTTGAAACAGAGTCTCAAAAAAAGACAAAAATCAGTGTTGCACACAGTTGCTTTCTGTGGTGGCTACTTGATGCTCTTCCTGGTGTTTGAATTCTGCCCATTACAGACTTTGCTGTGTGTCACTGTCAGTTACAAAGCTATACCATGATAAATTCAGCATGGGAAATCAAATTCTCAAGTCTCAAAATGCAACATGCGCATCTTGATAGACCCAGGCTATTATTATGTATAAATTTCTCTGTGATCAGCTTGTGAAGTCTTGGAGTTGAAAGCTGCCTTTGAGTAATTTCCTTTGAATAATAAATAGCAGTCAGTGTGAAAGTATTTGAGTTCTTCTAGACTCCCTTTGCTTATCTTGAGCCAGAGGCATCACTCTGGTGCAGCTCTTCTCTGGTTTTTGTTACAGAAGTCAAGTGATCTGAGGTTTGTCTCTGGCCTCTGGTGTGTCAGTGCAAGAGACTCATTTCAGACCTGTTGTCCAGCCCCATATTGGAGCTCCCCTTAGCCTCAAACCAAAATGACCTTTCTTGATTTATCTTTGTTTTGCCTCTTGCTGCATGCTCTTATCAGTGTGCTGCATTCTCAAATGCTCCATGTTGTTTCATATAACAATATTTATAACACAGCTTGATAAAAAGCGGGAGTGGGAAATGATGTGCCGAGTGAAGCCAGATGTTGTCAAAGACCGAGAGAGAGAGAGAAATCTTCAGAGAATTGCCACAAGGTAAGAGTTTTTTTGTGAATGCTTTCCTTAAATATATGTGTATTGAAAAAAAGAAGGAAAAGGGGAAGAAAAGGCCTGCACAGGTAATCTGTTTCCAATCAGATCAAACTCTTTAAGTGTCTAGCAGGAGGCGAGTGATTTATATACAGGCTTGCATTGTACAGTATCAAGTTCAACAGAAGATTCAGAAGCTTTATGAAAGAATAAAAATTTAGATGGGAATGTAATGTTTTCTTAACAGAAGTGCTTTGTTGAATCCCCTCATTTCATTTATTTAATGCTTTAAAAATGCAGAACAGTTGTTTCCACTACTGTCTTTTCTTTCTCTGCAGAGGACTTGCCAGATATATGTCTGTTTTGCATTGCAGTAGTTTGATGTCACAGAACTAGTTGAACACCTTGATGTGCTGTCTGATTCTGCCTCCTTATTCGTTCTTCTGCCTTGTCCTCCTACTTCAGCTGCTCTTAAGGTCTTGCTTGAGAAATTTAATAGCTGATTGTAGGATAAGTAACATGCTTCTGAGGGTGAAACATACTCTTGCACTGATCTCAGTGCCACTTTACCATGGGTAAAGTTACTTCAGGGTCTGAATAGTTATTTGTGGATTTTACTGGCAGTAAGTGTGATGGAAGAGTGAAAATGGAAAGTCTCTTGTGTTGTAGTAAATGCAGCTTCTCAATTGAATTGAGGTTCAAAGCAAACATTTTGGGGAGCTAGAAGCCATCCAGCATCTGCACTGATTAGTTGCTTTGGCAGAGGGTTCATTTCTGTAGAGGGAACTTGAGTTAGAAACTTTGTTTTATTTTGTTGTGTTTTTTCCCTATCCCAGAGGTGTTGTACAATTATTTAATGCTGTCAGGATGCACCAAAAGAATGTTGATGAGAAGGTGAAGAAAGCTGGGAGCTCTGACAGGCAGCGTGCAAAACTGCTGTCATCTGTTTCAAAGAAAGATTTCATCAGTGTTTTAAGAAACATGGAAGGTGCTAAAGGAAGCAAGAATCCTGCTGGAAAGGCCACAAAAGTTAAACAGGTAGGCTTTGTCTAGGAGAAAAAATGCATACACGATACCTTCTCAGTATAATTATGGTCTGTTAATATGCCTGCTCTTCAGAACAGCTGTGATTCAAGTGCCTTGGGTTTTTTTTGAGACTGCTTAGGAAGGGAGCAAGTAACTCTTAGCCTGTTTTCCCTGTATCGAGGTAGGAAACACTGGAAGCTTTTCTGGTAAGATATCAAGCCCTGTGTACAAATAGCTTGGTTTAGCTGTGTTTTTAAAAAAAGAATATGAAAAATTGGATTTTTATCTTGGATTTTGCACCAACCATGAAACAAACTGCTAGATTTTAGTGGGATGTGACATTTTGAATTTGCCCAGTAGTAGTTATCAGCTCTTTAAAATTGTTAAAAGCATGAGGGCTCTTCATCTTGTATGTTGTATTAGACTCTACTACTTGTGTGTACCCACAGTTTTGAGTATTTAAAACTCACTTTGTCTGGATGATTATGGTATCTGGAACTGAAGGGCTTTGCATACTGAGAAGAGAAAAAAAAGAAAAAAACAAAACAAAAAAAACCAAACCCGAAAAAACCCACCAAAACCACAAAAACAACAAAAAGCAAAAACTGAAAGAAAAACCTGAGACATACTAAACTTATGTAGACTTTTCATTCCCTAATTCTGTGTGTGTGTTAGGATGATGTGGGATCATTGCTGTTACAATGTTTTGGAGAGAAGTATTTTAACACATTCCACTTTTTCCAAAAGTGCTTGAGAGTCACAGTGTAGTTGGATTTGTCCAACTCTCTATGGTTCTTTCAACTCACCAAGTAGCTCTCGGTTGAAAACAAGTTGCTCAGGCATACTTTTTCTTGTGTTTCAGAAGCTGCATGTTTTTGAAACATACTTGTGTTCAGGTTTGAACTTTGTGCTTGGTAGTGGGTGGAATACTTCTGCTGGCCCAGATTCACAGCAGTTAACTAAGTGCTTTTCTGTGCCAGGAAGAAATACTTTAATCAGTTGGGAGACAACAGTTTGTCATATGTTTTTTGTTTGTGTGCACTTGGGGAGCATGCTAAAGCACTGCCTGGCATGAAGAGCTCATACAATTTTCATGCAAGTGTAGTATTAAAGTATTTTTTAAATTCTTCGGATAATGAGAACAATTTAGCTTGGTGCTGACACTTTATTTCTCCTTAAATAATTCCAGCTTGCTTGTTTGTGGGGGGCGGTGTGGCTGTGTGTGTGGTGGTTCTTTTTCCTTCTGGAATAGCAGAAGAATATTGGAGTGATAGCAGTGCCAACTACTATTGGAGTAGACATTGAATCAATAGCTGAGCAAAAACTAGGACTTTTTTACTTTGTGTCAGATTGTAGCAGGGCAATTTTCTAATTACTAGGTCAGAAAACATAGATTGCAAATGTTTCTATACTATAAAAAAGTCTTATTTTAGCAGTGTCAGTAACAGTGTATTTCCACTAAAGTGCTCTGGAGATGCTTTAGGTGCTGGCTGCTTAGTGGTGGTTTTCAGTACTGATATAGGTGCTGCTTTTCAGTACTGATATAGGTGCTGCTTTCACTATAGCCTGTGAACAAAAACTTCAAACTTTGGAGTTTTTAATTAATATAAGTCTACAGATGTAGGCTTGTTTTTTTGTTTGGGGAGGAGGGTTTTGGTTGTTGATTTTTTTTTTATTTGTTTTGTTTTGAATAGCCATGTCTGCCTTGATAGATCACTGCCCTCCCTCTCTCCCTTTTTGCATTTGCTTCTGTGACTCTCCATTTAGTACTGAGCCAAACTCTTCTCCTTTTCAGGCTGTTCTCAATCTACCTTATTTTCTCTTGAGAGCATATCTTGCCCATTTAGCAGGCTCCCATCCTCGTAGCTGTTGAAGCTCAAGAGTGATGCTGGCCTCCACTATCATCTCTCTGCTTCTTGGTCTTTGAGGATTTTTTAGAGGGTAAAAGCAGGGATGAAACTTTTGGGTGGTGAATTCCTTGCAGCAGGACTTTGGTAGATTGTGCCATCTGAAATCTTTTGTTTATTTTGTGGTGGGGTTTTTAGTAGCAGCTTGCTTTGTTTTTAGCAATTGAGACTATGGTGTATATTTCATTTTTTGGAATGGGGGGAAATATATTTATTTATCTCAACAAAAACAGTGGAAGAGATGCCAATCCCAAACTCCAGGCACTCTGCCATCAATTAAAATGCAGTCCAGAACAATAAAAACATTACCCCACCCACATAAAACAGGCAGTCAGCAAGAAAAATAGCAGAATAAAGTTTTCTCAGTGAAAGCAAACCTTGCTTGACTCAAGCCTTGTGCTATGAAAGGATAACTGACTTTATTTGTGAGAATGGTCAGATGCTTTTTCTTACTTCACAGTGGTTTTTGAATGCAAGATTTGCTGCCATATTTTTGAAAGTTTGGAGGTTTCTTCCAAAAGTTATGGGGTTCTTGAAGAAACTCCTTATAAAGCTCTGTTGTGGTTGACTATTTAGTCAGGTATATGTATGTGTGAGAAAAAGAAATTGCATGCTCTGTAAAGGCCCATCTGTAGCAGTGAGATTTCATGGTAGCACAACCACTTCAAAAAGTTTGTTCACTATTTCCATCAGCTTTGTGCCCGTGCCGTGTGAGAATGTCACTTATAGCCATGTATACTTTTAGTTATTGGCCTAAATATTACTTGGTGTGCACCCACCTAATGTAGATATGAAAGAAAGACTGTAAAGCTGTGAAAATTTTCCTGTGCCATTTGAAACTGTAGTCTTCCTTCAGGTTTTCTGTACCCAGATGGGAGTAATTACTTTTCTGCGCTGGAGCCAAAAGCTTTGCTTTTCATATCATTAGCTGTTTATCAAGGTATTTCTTAATCCTTGCTGAGCCAGCTGACTTGTGTAATTTTTTCCCTGTTTTTTTCCAAGGTACTGTACATGATGCTTGCCTCTAGGTAAGATCATCTGATTTCCCTCCCCTCGTCACCTTATCTGAAAGCCTTGCAATGTGGAAGAAAAGTGTAATAATTTTCTTTCTTAAAAAATCCCATTTGTTTGTTGTTTGGGTGGGGTTTTCTAAGTTTTGGAGTAGCTTTTTTTTTTGGGATGTATTTATTGAGAGATATGAGAGCTTTCAATCTTGTTCAACACAATCCTTACAGACCAGATCTTCATTTTAGTATGTGTTGGTTGCATCTTGCAGCTTCCTACCTGTGAGATACTATAAGAAACATTATTAAACTACAGGTTTAAAAAATGTACATATCAGAGGTGCTGTCTTTCCAGCCCTGGAGGCTGAAGTCATTTTTATGTCTATAGAACAAATACAAAATTAGGTAGTGGCAGTAAAGGATTCCTTGTAGGAATCTTGTTTTCTTTAGGTCCTTAAGAAATTTATGGGTGCTTCTTTGCTTCCTGGTTGAGTGAAGTTTCTGATCTTTTAAGGCTGCGCAGACATGTTGGCTGATGTAGTGAATTACATGAGGTCTTGAAATCTTAGTTAACATTTCCAGAGCAGCCTGAACTCTTCTCCCTCACTGCATGTCCATTACAACAGGATCATTCAGTACCAGCAGCTCTCGTCTTGACTTTTTGCTTGTCATTTGTGCTACTGCCTGTAAAGCATTACTAGGTGGTAAAACATTTTCTAGTGGCATAAATAACCAGCATGAAAGTTACAAGTATTCTTTGTGACAGACATAACCTGCACTCATCAAGCTTTAATTTTGAATTAAGCTGTTGTAGCGTGGTTTTCTGAATCACCTACGTTAGCTTCAACTGTTCAGTTTTCTTACACCAGATCTGTTGCAGAGCATTTCAGTGGTGAAAGTAAGAGGAGGATTTCCTGGTCTACTTCAGTAACCATGATCCAAATTCTGCAAAGTAATTTTTCTGCATGACTTTGAGGTACCATTTTTTTCATGTGTTGTGATGACATCTGGAAAAAATCAGTGTACTGGCCTCAAAATAGTATCTATTCTAAGATAATTTAGTGACGGGAAGGAAGATGAGCAGAGAGGAATACAAATGCTATTCTATATCAGATGTTCTTCCTATGGGACTTGAAATAAAATGTTTTTTCCAGAAAATTTCCTTCTGCTTGAGTTGCATTTTATAAATGCTCCTAGTGTTTAGCCAGTAGTTTGTAAACACAGTGACTAGAGACAGGTTCGCTGTAGATTTTTGTTCATAAAACTTTTAATATTCATAAATATTTTTAAGCAGTAGCTTGAAGATTGTCCAAAGGCAGGAGGAGTATCACGCTTCTGACTTTAACTGCTGTTCTTGACACAAGAAGTGTCATGGGGGCTTTAATTTTTCAAATCAGATGGGGATATAAATGTGCTTTCCAGTTTAAAAGTTAGATCTGTTTAAAGCCTGTGAGAGTGACTGCCACCTTTTTCTTGCAGCTGCATAAGAACTGGCCATTGGCATGTTGTTCTGCCTTTTTCCAGTTTCCACAGTGCAGAAATGGAGGGGGAAAATACAGTTTTATCTGTCTACCCGTTTGGAGGGACAATAGTCTGAACAATTGTTTCAAGCTTCTTTAGGAAATAGTTTATTTCTGAAGTATGGATGAAGGCATAAGTGGCTTCTAGAAATTTGGGTAAGGTGTATCAACACCTCTTTTAATCTTAAAAGGAAACTTTTTTTTCTTATGTGATAATGGCATTGCAGAGTAGCAGAAGTTTATTACTACAGCTGTTGTGTGTGGGTTTTACAGAACTAATTGAAGGAGTAACCAGGTGTGTATGTATTCCAGCAGATTTGAGGGGGCAGCCAAGTAAATTAGTAAAAGTAAAATTTAGTCCAGCTGCAGTGAGAGTAGTTGTGTTCTCCCAGTTTTAATAAATGTCTTCCCATCACATGCACAGAAACTTTTAATTTGGATTCCTTTATAAGTCATACATTTGCATATTTTTCCCAAATGTCTGTACGCTTTCCTGAAGGTCACCCTGTAGATGTTTGGAGCTGATGCTTTTCATGTTTTTTTGGTTTTATACCAAGTGGTTGCTGACTACCTAATTGTAT